TCCCCTCCCCCTCATGTGACGCCTGCCTCCATACTTCCCTGTCTCCAGCGCCATACACCATCATCACCTTCCCCTTCCTGTTCGCGGTCATGTTCGGTGACCTGGGCCACGGGGTGCTCATGACTTGTGCCGCCCTGTACCTTGTGCTGAGGGAGAACCGGCTGACGGCCCAGAAGAACGACAACGAGGTACGGGTCCCCGTCACGGCCATCCCATCAGCCCTACACCATCCTCGCTGGTGATCCAGCTGTGCCGAGTTTCTGTGGCTTTACGCTCATAGAAACCTACTTATCTCTCCTTGATGGTTTTGTGGCAGATGTTCAGCATGGTGTTCGCGGGCCGCTACATCATCCTGCTGATGGGAGTCTTCTCCGTCTACACCGGGATCATCTACAACGACTGCTTCTCCAAGTCCCTCAACGTGTTCGGCTCCGGCTGGAGCGTCAGGCCCATGTTCGACGCTCGGCTGGGGGCCAACTGGACGTAAGTGTCGTTGACCCCGGTGTGCTGCTGTAGCCGCGCGGTAGTTCGAGACACAAAAGTGACCGGTGCTCTCATCCTGTTCAGGTTCGAAACGCTGCAAGGCAATAAAGTTTTGCAGTTGGACCCGACAATAGACGGAGTGTTCAAAGGGCCGTACCCCATCGGCATCGATCCGGTGAATATTCTTCTTTTGTAATCTGTTGTTGTTGTTGTTGTTGTTTGTCTTTGCAAATGATTATATATCTGTTAAGAAATGAATCATATATAATGGCTTGTTGCTAGTGGTATCACGGATCGATCCGTCAGCAGGTGCTGACAGAACTATCAGAGTGGAAGCTAGACGGGCCCAATAACATCCAGTCACCACAGAAAGGTCTACCCTCTCCCCAGACAATGGCGATATTCTCATCTTTTTGAAAATGATGTCACAGTAATGGTAAACATTATTTCAGTGTATTTGAATGACATAACCTGACAGGTAGTAAACATAGACCCAAGTTGTTGCCGGGCAGTTCAGTTCAGTGTAAACAGTGGAAGCTAGCTCACTGGCTGTTTCTTTCTTTCAGTATTGATCAAAGGACGAGGATATCGACATACCTCATGTTGCACTTAAACTTAACAGAATTCTTGAATGTATTATTTTTATTTATTTATTTCATTTTGTTTCAAATTGGACATCTTCAAGTTCTTTGCTTTAAGTGTTCTTGAAGTTCTTTAATTAATAAATGGAAAGCAAAGTTATATTTGTCTCCTCCCCTTTTCTTTGTTGATCTGAAAAATAATCCAAACCGAACCGTGAGGTTTGTGATCCGTGACACCCCTACTAGTTGCTGAAATCTACAACAGATAATGGTGGCACTAACATTAGCTTCCCTCTATAATTAGGTTTATTGTAATTTGATTTTGTTAAAAGGAGACAGCCTCTCACAATGAACAGATTGGTTCTTGGACACTCACCATCTTTGACCATGTTGTCTCTCAGATATGGAACATTGCCACCAACAAGCTGACATTCCTGAACTCGTTCAAGATGAAGATGTCCGTCATCCTGGGAGTCATCCACATGCTGTTTGGAGTCTCTCTCGGCCTCTTCAACCACCTGTGAGAGTTTTCGTCCAACATTTCTGCTTAGAATTCTTGTATTTCTTTGTCACCGTTGGCAATAATGCAAAAAAAAAAAAAAAATGGTGGTGGTGGTTCTCTGCAGGTATTTCAAGAAGCCGCTGAATATCTACCTGGGATTCATCCCAGAGATCGTCTTCATGGCCAGTCTGTTCGGCTACCTCGTCAGTCTGATCTTCTACAAGTGGCTCTCGTACGACGCGAGCATATCCAAGGACGCTCCCAGTCTCCTCATCGCCTTCATTAACATGTTCCTCTTCAACTACAACGACCCCAGCAACAAACCTCTCTACAGAGGACAGGTCAGACGCACCTGTTCGTCACACCCATCCATCCTTTTTGTCCTGAAATGAACCTCGGCAAGTCCTCACTGTCCTGCTTTTCTTTCTCTCTCTCCTCCGTGTAGATGGCCATACAATCGCTCTTGGTGGTAATCGCCCTGGCGTGCGTTCCCTGTATGTTAATAGTGAAAACTCTGGTTCTGCGGAGACAGCATTTGTGGCGGAAAAACCTGGTAAGATGATCAGCGGTGTGACTTGAAATAACACATTGCACCTCAATTATAATCCCCTTTTTTTTTTTTTTTTTTTTTTTTTTTTTTTAATAATTTTATTTTTTCTGCTTATCTTCTACGTCAGGGCACAGACAGCTTTGGAGGGATCAGGGTGGGCAACGGGCCCACCGAGGACGAGGCTGAAATCATCCAGCATGACCAGCTCTCCCAGCACTCTGAGGAGGAGCCTGAGGTAACAATGACTTCCACCTGATGCCCTTTTCTCCCTCTTTCTCACACAACTAGAAAACTGGCAACCCAGCAGTTTGGGGAGAGAGGGGGTGGGGTTATAGGATCTCCTCACATCTTTTGAATAATTTAAGTCGCTCCAGTTGGAAACCGATACCTCATGTTTCCACTTCCAGTGTGGCAACGAAAGACATCAATTATGGATGACTAATGGATGGTTTGGTCAACTGGTTTAACAGGTTTAACACTGTCACTTTAAGATCAAAGGAAACGACATAGAGAAATTGTTTTTTTGTTATTTATTTAGTTTGCTTGTAGAATATTCAGACTAATTCAACTTTTTGTGAAAGTCAGACCAGTTTGGTTGCCTGTTGTAAATCCTGAAGAGCTTTAACCCATAAACTGTTGTGCTGAATTATGAACCCGCCCCCAGTTTAATTGTAAAATGTGTTGTCATCCTGTAAAGTTAACCCTCTTTTCTTTTTGAGTGAGTAACTGATTTCTCCTCTCACTTTTCTGTTACACTGGTGTGTGTGTGTGTGTCTGTGTGTGTGTGTGTGTGTGTGTGTGTGTGTGTGTGTGTGTGTGTGTCGTGCCGTGCCGTTAATAACCAAGCGTTGCCTTTTGTCACCTGCTGTCAAGGCCGGCGAGGAGGAAGAGGTAGGACAGGAGCTCACGCTGAACCCCCCCCCCCCCTTCAAAGTGCATGTCTAGCAATTCTGTCTCTTTCTGCCCCTCGCTTTGTCGTCTCTGTACGCTGTCAACCATTGCCTGCTGCGTATGTAAGTGTTAGTCGGTGTGTTCCGGGAGTCACTTGTCTGAAGCGTGGGTTGCAGGGACGCCTCATACCATGGTGATATGCATGAGGGATCAGCAGGGCAGCTGATACTCTGGGTCCAGAAGACGACGGGTGTCTCTTCTAATTTTAAGAGGCTTTGCTTGTCCACCGTGGCAAATGGCTTTCCTATCATTTTTAGCTGTATGATCGTGCACACACAATGAAGCAGACCTGCGTGGACCTCAGGACCTGTTTGCAGAGATGTTGTTCTGTAGAGATTTTAGTGTTTTAATGTTCCGTATCTATCCTGCAGTTTAACTTTGGGGACGTGGCAGTCATTCAGGCCATCCACACCATAGAGTACTGCCTGGGCTGCATCTCCAACACGGCCTCCTATCTGAGGCTTTGGGCCCTCAGCCTGGCTCACGCACGTAAGTCCCACTTTTCCTCCCTTTTTTGAATGTCCAGGTTTGAATACAGATGTACAGACGTGCTCGCTCTCTCTCTCTCTCTCCCACGCACAGAGTTGTCAGAAGTACTGTGGACCATGGTGATGCACATCGGCTTTTCTACCGGCGGCTTCGGAGGTTTCTTCGTTCTGGCCATCGTCTTTTTCTTCTTTGCCATTCTCACAGTTGCCATTCTTCTCATAATGGAGGGCTTGTCAGCCTTCCTGCATGCACTGCGACTGCACTGGTGAGTCGAGTATTGTTTTTGTCTATTCATTTTTTTTTTTTTTTGGTCAAATGAACATTAATCCAAGTTCCTGCGTACTGGATTTGCTATTTTAAAAAGAGGACTCTTACTAATGCCAACTGACTGTAAGCGCCGTAAACCACAGCTCTACAGCGCCATCCGCAGGTCAAAACGCAAACGGATGCTTCTGTTTGTAAGTGACAAGAAGAAGGACCTGCTTCTTCTTCTTTTCTGCATTACAAATAGAAAACGAACAGTTCAAGGGCCACAGTTTGTACTTAACATGTAAATCCAGCGTAGACGACAACCATGTTTTTAGGAAACGGTAAAAACAAATATGTAAATAAAAGTCAAGTTGAACACGTGTCAACAAGGGCGTGTCCCAATTATAAGTTGGAACATGTCGGGCTGTTATGTGTGGCAGCAGAATGTTCTTTGCTGAGGCATACATGAGCCTTTTGTTGTCCCGCCTCATTAATATCTTTGTCAGGCTTTGCTGAATGCCATCCAGGCTTTATAATCCGCTCGCACATTTCCAGAGCGTGCCTGTGTTACCGCCACTCTCCTCTATAATTACCCTTTTGGATGACTATCCACCGGAATGCCGGGTGACTCGGCTTTCACTGATTGGCCCTTCAGAGACAATAAGGTGCAGTTTTGGAATGCGGGGAAGTGAATATAAAACACCAGTCCAAATATTTTACTTCCAGTGACTGCACCATGACATCATGTGACTCTGTGATGTCACACGTTTGCCAAAGTAGAGGTGGAGGAAAGTTAAGTTGGCCTCTTTACCCTTTTTAAATTGCTCAGCTGTCTAGAGATGTTAACACTGATATACTATTTAATTGAAGAATAGAAGTACGTCTATGAGAATTTTGGGGATGATTCAGTACAGAGAAGACTTTGTATGTACCTTCAAGTCTAAATACTCTTTTGTTTAACATTATAAATGGCACCAGTTTGGATTGTTCCTGAGTGCAGAAGCTTATGTGCAGTAATATATTTTTTTTAATGACTTTCCCGTCCTCGTCTCCCATCCTGCACCGGACCAGACTATGGAGCGGCAGGTATTCCTGGCTGCTCGGTTTAAAGGTCATCCAGCCGTCACTTAGCGCTGGATCTTTTTTAGAAATGGAGCCTGATCATTTTCCAGAGGGGGAATAAGAGGCTTATGTGTCTGACCCTGGGTCCGGGTCCAGGCAGCAGGGACGTAGACAGGACCGTGGAATGAAGAGTAGGGGGGGGGGGTTTAACGCGCTCAGCATTACCCGACCTGACTGCCATCACCACTAACGTGCCTGTGTTAGCGTGAGAGAGGCTTCCTGGTCGTTGTGTTGCTTTGATTGGACCTTTTTTTTTTTTTTTGGATTTTCTTTCCAGGGTGGAGTTCCAAAACAAGTTTTACGTTGGCCAGGGCTTCAAGTTCCTCCCCTTCACCTTCGAAAGCATCCTGGACGGGAGGTTCGAGGAATAAGATGGGACGACTCGTCTTCTTTAGTCGATGTCGCTCATCTCTTGAGAATCTGCGTGAAGTTGAATAGTGATTTTTTTTCTTTTTTTTTTCTTTTTTTTTTTTTGGGTGTGTGTGTGTGTGTGTGTGAGATGCAGTTTCCATGAGTTACACGCCACAAGCTCATCCGTCAGACTGCCACATGTTTCCTATCTACTCACAAATTCATTCATTCACTCCTCAGAAAAAATAGCATTATCTGTAATCCGTTATGTGTCTTGTCTTAGTGAAGTCATTTTGTTTTAGTTTACTATTATTTATGCACATCTTTCCTTTATAAAATCTGCATTCTTTGTTCCCTCTTGGTGGCAGTGCTGCAGTACCATCACAAACGAGGTGTTTTGTGCAAGTGTCTTGACTATGTTGTTTGGCGCTTATTCAGAGTAAAGTGACAGAAGTGTCACTTTACGGTTTACAACTTTCCTGTCTGTCCTCTCCACGTTGTTGTCTCTCTCTTTCTCTCTGCATTGTTCTGCACAAAGCATTGACACCTCTACCACACTGCGCACTGACCTCACACCCAGAGCTATAGAGGTCCAAAGGGAATACAATTACACTTAAATCAGGATGTCAGTCAGTGCTTTAAAGGTGCAGACGCACCGATGTTTAATCCTGCGTAGCGCGCTAATAACATTGCCATAAATGTCCTTTGTGTTAAGTGATGTGTTCTCTATCAGTCTACACGGAGAGGATGAAGGGGATCCGTAGATGGACGTTCTGTAGCAACAGTGTGCTGATGTTCATTTGTATGTTAAAGTTTAAAATGTTATTGTTGCACTTAGATGGGAGTAAGAACAGCAAACTGCTGACACTTTAAAATAATACTCAATCCTGAGAAATCATTTTCCACCCACATTTTAATTGTGCATCTCTGTGTCAATAAATTGGAAAGAGCTGGATTAAGTTGTTTTTCCTCTTTGTGTAATTTTCTCTGATCAATCTGCCACAGTGGTGATATTCAAGTGTGACGGGAAAGTATTCAAAGCCTTTACTTGAGTAAAAGTAGTAACACTACACTAAGGTGATGGTACTCGCTACGCAGAAAATGGCTTGAGAATCTCTCTCTATATATATTTATATATTCATAGTGTATAGATGGATAAAAGTATCTTCCTTTGAAAAATAAAAGAGTAGAAGTACCTCAATGTTGTACCGCGGTTCGGCTTCAATCAACCCCGTCTCCCTGCATGGTGGCTTCATGGACGGTAGGATTTCAATGTGTCATCACTCCTCACGGTGGTGCTATTGAACAGGCTCTGCAGCTGCAGTGGCCCGTGAGAACGGAGTGTTGTGTTTTCCCCCTCTGTATGTTAGAAGTTGTAATAAAAGCACCGACCATTGTCTGGGACAGATGAATTTATCGTGAGTACCTGCTGAACTTTGTGTCTGAAACATGATCCTGGCCATTGCTTGGCAGACGAATAGGAAACATAAGGGGCACTTGTAATTTGATTTACAGTTATGTATTTTGTGCACAATGGGCCTTTTCTTTAACATGTCGCTTATCATTGTTTTATCGACTGGATTCGTTCAATCTAGCCGTCTACGGGCAATCATGTTGTAATGAGTCCAAACAGAAGTATCCACTTGTGCCTCCACCCATGTTGAAAGGGTTTGACTTTCTCAGTCTCGTCAAAAGCGACGGGAAACTTCTCAGCTTTAAACCATTTCACATATTTATATTCAGTAGTGGGGAAAGAAGTACTCGGATCTATGTAAAAGTAGCAATACCACAGAGCAGACATACTCTTAATACAAGTAAAAGAAATGCTTTCAAAGTAAAATTACAAAAAAAACTGTCATCAAAATAATATTTTTTTAATCTATCATACTTTCACCACTGTGATTTTGCCTTTGTCTTTTCTTGAGGCCTAAACCCTCACGATTAAAACCTTGAGCCTCTCTGGGATGAGGAACATCTTGTTCTCTATCCGCCATATCTTTTCGAGGGGGTTGGCGGCTATTGGCCACAACAGCCCAAAGTAATAATAGAGCTCTTTATTTATCTAACGTTTTTTTTTTTTTTTTGGACAAGCTCATTTAATTTGATATTTCCCAGCGTGTCACGTATAACCAGGGGTGAGAGCAAGCTTTCATAACAGACCAAGAAATCCTGTGGTGTTTACACTTCTCGGGACTTTTACTCCGCCGTTTCAAAGCATGAACCCCAACAAGACTGAGCTTATTATTTTGCTCCTTTATCTAAGGCAAACATTAAGTGCACTTTAGTTTGGCAGAAAACTGTCCCAAGGAATGTTGTGTTTCTCGTGATGTTAGAGTAGATTTGCTTTTTCTTTGGGATAACAGAGAGATGCTTTTGCAGCTGTTCTCGTGCTGTAGGCCTCAGTGTCCTCGTGATCCAGGCACTGAGGAACGTGGGTTTGGGATGTTAGACAACGTTAGAAACAGCGACACCAACGGCGACTAATTATCCAGAAATATCACTGTAATGTTGTTGTGTACAGAAATACTGCAAACAACAACCTATACCTTATTGAGTGTGAAATAACAATGCTGTGTGTTTTAGAGTCTCTGCAGCCTGAAGAGCACATCAATCTGCGTGAAATTGGGATTCGCTGTATGACACAAACTGACGATGGACTTATGAGAATGATTTTCCCCCTCTTTCCAAGGTACTGTGCATTCTGCCGCTGTGGAATAACATTGATGTTCTCTTCTCAACTGTTTTCCACCCACACACACATTTTCAAGCAGTGTTAGACTTCCAGACAAACAAATGAAAACATTTTTCGAGCCGCTCACATCTCGTGCCACAGTACTCTTGTTATGGAGAAAATCATTAATATCGTGTGACACAAAGTCCTTTTTCAATAACAAGCTTAGAACAAACAGAAATTTCTGTCCAATACGTTAATAATCACAAAATAATAATAAATATCACCTTAAAGCGTTCACAAGAATATGGGAAATTTGATCAAAGAAAGGTGCACTTTCCCCATGCTGGTTCAGTTTAAAATGGATTTCCACATTGAACCACGTGTCTTAAACACAAACACAGACTAATACAGAAATATGAGGTTTATGAAACCAATGTGACTTTTCAGTGGTTTACAGGGACCCACCTTTCCCAGCATCCAGTCAACTTAAAAGTAGTGTCAGAAATGTTTGTTTGTGCAGAAGACATATTTTATTTTCAGAACATACATTAAATATGTGACATTTTGCACACACTCAAAAAAAGAGACTACTACTGAGTCTATAGATATGCTAGCAGCCCTTTAAACCTCGTACTTACTGCGCGTACCTGTGTGCAGCTTTGAGCTAAATGCTAACATCAGCATGCTAACATGCTCACAAGGATATACATGCCGATGTTTAAAAAGCTATAATGTTCTCCATCTTTTAGCTTGTTATTAGCATGCTAACTTTTGCTGATTGAACATGAAGTTCAGCCCAGGAAGACGGGAGCAACTATATCGATAAAGTATTGTACAAATTGAAATGGAAGATGTGCAGTTTGTTTGCTTTTCCGTATTCAAAGTGCTGAGACAATCTGTCCTCAATGATACTCCTAGTTCTTGAACCCTCTTGAAAATAGAGAGCCTCAGGCTGTCACATCAGGAATCATCATTGCTGACGGACACAGAAGGTAAACTTGTTCAAGCAGACGTGACTGACAAGCAGGTCCATTCGGCTAATCGACGGCCCAGGTGATCGTGGGAGAGTGGAAGCAAAGGGCCTGTACCTTTCTACACCAAAGGGGTTACATTACCACATGACCTGTCTGACCCCCAGCTATTGTTTCCAGACTCTTTTTGACAGCCATGACAATGTTACACACACACACACACACACACACACACACACACACACACACACACA